AGAAGAAAGGCATAGAGTATATTTTCCCTATCTAAAACGCAGTAAATTATTTTCTACTCATGGAGTGTAGGGTTTATAACCTAAACTCAATCTGAGAGAGCAAAGCAACCTATCCCTAACACTGTCTTCAAAATTGTCAAAAGTAGCAGCAGGTTGTAATAATAAGCTTGTTGTAATAACAGAACTCATTTTTTTCAGTTACAATTCTTTTTCCATAAAGTACTTTATATTTATATCTGATACCATAATAATTATTAGTCATTATAATGGTTTTAATACCATTCACAAGTAAAGCCAGAATACCTACCATGTGCAGAAATAGTCTGATCCTCTGTGGGTATTTTTGGTTTAGTACTTTCTTTAAGAAAGGGCTTTTTAAGATTTGTGGATAAAACAAATATTCTTGGCTTGTTCTAATTTTCCCATCCTCAAGGATGAAAAATAGCTTGCATGTGATTTTTCTGAAAATTTGTTAGTGCCAGACACCAGTCAAAGAAATGAAATGCAAATTCTGAAAAAAACTTCGTAGAATTCTGGGATGCTGGTTAGCACTGTATATTTATCTTTCTTTTATCCTGTAATCTGGGGCTGAGCTGCCATGCAGTATATGTTCCATCTTTGCCTTTCTCAGCCAGCACTAGTATGCACTTGCTTATCATCTTCCTTGATAAAGTGCATCCATCATTCTAATGTCATTATTTGTCTTATGATAAATTCTGTCATGACTGCTAGAGTAGGATTAGTATTTCAAACTCTAAAATAGAGATAGAAAGATGTCTTTAAGGCCTGCTGATAGGTAAACAGACATTCCAGAAATCTCATCTTGTGTATTGCAGGCAAAGAAGGTTCAACTCTACACATTGAGATAGCTGGCCACAGAGTACAAAAGTTGCCAGGGACACCGAACGTGAATTTTTCAGCTTTGTCATGCCCTGCCTATTGATTTCTATTGCCTGCTAAATGAGACAATTAAATAGTCAAAATTGAAGAATAAGAACATCCTCACAAAGTAACTTTGCCTTTCTCTTCTTTTTGTCTCTCTAATTTTCATTGAGTCTTCTGCTCTGGAAAGGATGGGAGTCTATCTCTGTGAGTTCTACTTGGTCAAAGACACCAGGGTATCTGCTAAAGCCCTGAACCTTTTTACACATAATGCCTTGCAGAAGAAGATGCATGCAACTGTTAATTATCATATCATATTTTGGCACACCAAGAACAAGATGGTCAGATCACCCTTGCCCCTTTCTCTGCCCAGATGAGCAAATGAGAACCAGTTCATTTACTGACTGTCAGTCAATTACAACTCTTGCTCTGAGCAAATATCAAACACTCTGCTCAAGAGATATTGTGCCTAAATGTTCTGGCTCACAATTACCAGCTTTAGTTATTAATTCTACGGTAGGTGAAGCTAAGAGATAAATTTGGTTATAGAAGATTTAACAGAGGTTATATTTATTAACCCTTATTTAATCATTTCAGCCAAGCAAACAGCTTTGATCTACAGCGTAGAGCTGTAGTTCAATATTTACACCTTGCATGAAAATATGGCATTTAATCTAATCAAGCTGGCCAATGCTGCACATGCCACATTAAATGTTTGCTTTTCAAATCTGGAGTTCACTCATTCTATCATTCTAATTCCCGGACCCAATTTGAAAATAGTTTGCATTACATGCTATCTTGCAGCTTTATGTGTTTGCCTACCAAACACAGGTTAAATGACCTTGTTGTGTGAATGTGACATTGCTAAAATCAGAGAATAAATGCAACAGTATTATCTACTAAAAGAAAAACTAATACATTGCTAACAGCAAAAAGATAAAATATCTCTCTATTAGTAATACTTTTTTTGCTACCAAAAAAATCTTGCTTTTAGTACTTCAGCAGAACATTAGCGGCTTGTGTGAGTATTGTAATTTTGTCTTGTCCTGCTCTAGTAAAATCCTTTAAACAGTAGGTTGAAAGATGAATAAACAAATGGGAGGCAGTTAAAATAAACCGTGTAAAGTTAAAATCTCTTTAAAAATGGCAGTCTAAAACAAAGCAGCGAAGCCTGACTCTAATCTCACACAAACCAGTTCCAGCAAAGCAGGAACAATTCTAATAATCTTGAAGGAGATTCAATGGGAGAATGAGATCACAGCTGAAGCCTTATTGCCCTACTGCTTCTTGTGTTTCTTGTACTGGAACTGGGACAGCAAGGAAAAAAATTGTTTAAAAACCAACCAACCAATATCGCCCCCCTTCCCCCACCTCCAAAAATAGTAACAAAATGGTATCATAAAGAAAGAAATAATAAGAAATGTGTAGATAGTTAATTTTAAAACATCTGCATTTTTTACTTGCAGTAAGTTTTTAATACAGGCTGCCCTCACAAATGGACAACACCTGTGGTTGTGGGAAAAGTGCATTTGTATAAAGAGGCAGAATTGTGCTGGTTAGCATTAGAGGAATATTTCCATGTTTCAAACGTTTCTTCAAAGGAGTGGTGACCACAGCAGGCAACAGAAGTTATGGAAAGGGTGGGTAGGACATGGCCACCCCATCATGCCATAATGACCCCATGCTGTCCTATGGGATGAAGCAGCTCCTGGGCCCAGCACAGATACCTCCTACATTCTGTGAAACTGCAGCATAAACTCATCCCTTGAAACAGATGTTAAACTTTCAGCCCCACTTTGCTCTATTATGTGCAACAAAACTCAGAAAATATTTCTGTAGTTCTTCTTCTACATACAAGCATATCAGTATTAATATAAAATTTTTCTTCTAGTACGCGTGTTAGTTTCCCTCCCTACTTTTTTTTTGCAAATATATATATATATGTAACTACATACATATGAGATATCATAAATGGTTTAGAGAGGAGAATATCAATGTAATGACAGAATAACACAAAGATACTATAATAATAAACCAGATTAAACATTACAGAAGGAAATCAGTGATTTTTCCATGCTCACAAAACCAGAGCAAGCAATAGACATTCACACTTCAATTCACCTGCCCTGACTTCGATACCTCAAAGTTTCAGTTCTGGAATCACAGCTACTCAGCCTATGTTCCTCTTAGGGACAATGGAGATAAAATATCAATTAAAGCAGCTTTTATGTCATCCTAAAATAAGTCATATTCTGGAGGCCTATTTCTCTCCATCCAGTATGAAGGTACACATAGTGCTTCCAGTTCATCCATAGATAAATTTATATACTTTAAGTGATACAGACCCACTCAGACCTCCTGATTCCTCTGTTATGCATTTATAGAGGTGTGTAACGCATAGAGGGAGACCTAGAGAGCTTGGTTCATGTTTCTCTGTATTTTTTCATTGCTTCCATTGGTATTTCATTCTCTCCTTCCTTCCCCTTACAAAATACCTGACTGTTAAACACAAGGAACTATTTTATTGTTAAGCATTTAAGAAGAGATAAATGATGGTTTGAATGTTAATGCACCAAGGTAGATCAGAATCTTAGCACTGTTAAATGGTTTCTGAGCCACTAGAGCATAGCCTCAGTGCTATAAAGAAGCACTCCCTGATGGATTGTTAGCAATACTCTAACTCTTTTCAGGACAATAATATTGACTTCACATTAGATAAACATGAATCTTCTAAACAAGAGGTGAATACACAGGAATCAGCCTCTTTGTGTCTAGCAGCTAAAAGGTGGCAGGACACACTCTGTAGAGTTTAATTTTCACTGTAATTAGCTTTTGCAGTGAAGTGCAGTAAGGTAACAAATGAGGTACAGTGCTGCAACACAGGACTCAAGAGAGAAAGGAGGAGGTCATACTCTTTACCTTAACAATTTTTGGTATTCCCAAAACCCATTATTAGTAAAACACAGACATTAAATGACGTTTATGCTTTCAAAGAGGTAGTTGTGTGGGAGAAAAAAAAAAGTGAAAAATGGTGAGGTATTTAATATGTAGTTGGAGGTTGCTCAAATGTGAATGTTGACACGTTTCTCTTTAGCTGTAGACCACATATTCTGAAAAGGTAATGCAATAGCTTAGTAAATTTCTTAGCATTTACCAATGGTTTATGACCCCAGAAGAAGTCAGATACATCAGTGAATTTTTACATTTATAGGTGCAATTTTCTGTCTGCTAATGAGAACAACTGAATGCTACTATGGAGTTTATTCAGAACTCAAAAGCATGGTTTGCATTACATTACAATTCTATAAAAAAGTAAAGTCCAAAAATTCAATATTTTTGATAATCCAAAAGTAGTGTTTAAATTGCAAGAATGTAGAAATAGAGAAATAGTCCTACCATTACTAAATTCAGTATAGAAATTTGAGGGATTTTACCAGTCTTCACTAGCCCAAGAAATGCAACAACAGAAAACAGACCTGGAATAGTCCTTATGACTAATCCACACCCATGATCTAACACCAAACCAGCTCTGTCCAAGCTCTTCTGGATGGATATTTGTCTAAAGCAGTCTGAAAAGTCTTTTATTTCAAAGATTAAATCTCCTTATGATTATATATATGTGTGTGTGTGTGTGTGTGTGTGTGTGTGTGTGTGAGATTTCATAAATTCCATTCACATTCTTGATGTCTAAAAGCTCAGTAAAAGATTATTTTCACAGAAAAAAAATGTGACATAGTTAAAATATTCACTGGTTTAATATTTTTTCTATACTCCACTTGGGTTTCATTTTAACCTTACTTGCCGGCACTTAGAAAAATTCTTACAGGTAAATCTGGATGTTATATCTTTCATCTACTCATACCTTGCCTTGCAACTCTCATCCTCAAATGCAGCATAGCAAAAGAAGTATAACATTAGTAAGTAAATTAAAGTATGAAAATATAGCTATTAGTTTTCTCTGTAAATTTGAAACTGTGTTCACTAAGGGTTTAGTTACTCTGAAGAAAGATGCAGTGTTGAAAAGGCAAAAGAAAACTATTTCCAAATGTCTGTCCACAAAGCTGTGATTTGCTTCAAAACTTGAGTGTAGAAAAACGATGAGCACTGGCCAAGAAAAAAAAAATTCCAAAAGTTTATTTCAAAATTTGTCAAGAATATATCAACTGGTTCATTACATCTTCAGAGCCGAGCGTTTCTTTGTGTGGCTGCCAATCCAGTCTCCCACTTCAGCATTCCATTGTTCATGTAGCCTCACCATGAGCTGCATGGCTTCCATGGCAAATGATCAAAGGGAATTTCTAAACACCCGAAGGAAAAAAGCTTTCAAAAAAAACAAGACAAAACAATTAGGTCTACCTATGCAGCACCAGTCACTCAAAGATGTTGAAAATGCTTTAAAGACACTAATTATCTTAAATTTGTAATGGCTAGGGATTACAGATTAGTACAGCATATAAAGTAAATGTACTAGAATCATGTACCTTTTACTAAATATTGATGCATACATTGAATTGTGCTTTAAAATAAATGTCCCCTGATATTTCTTCATTGCTATTTCTTCATGCTCAATGATATTTCTTCATTGCTACTTTGCTCAGAGATATTTTTTAGAATATTATGTTATATAAGGCCATATCCTCAACTGAGATAAATTAGTATCATTCTAGTTTCAAATGAGCTCCACTGAGTTTAAACCAGTAGAAAATCTAGCCAATTTTCTTCATCCTTTTACAAAAAGCCCCTGCATGTAGCATAGAACTTGTGTTTGAACACAAAGAAAAATAAGATTTTCAGTATATGCACAGCAAGGAAAATTACTAGCTTTTGGATATTGCAGATTTAAGGGATATAGGAGAAGCTTATGAGCTATCAGACTCTACTATATTGCTTGGAAGCTGGACTAGAATAGGCATGATGAAGAGGTTTAGCAGAGTACATATTAGAAATTCGAGTAAGCTGCAACCATGCAATAAAAATTATAGCAGACAATACAATATAATGATTTTAAGAAGCATTGAAAGCATCCGAAAGAGCTCATCTCAAGTTTTGCTCCCAATATATTATTAACTTTGTCTCCAAGTACAGACAAGTTTTCTGACTCTCTTTCTCAGGGTTTTTTCTCCTTTCTTCCACCCCACCAGTTTTGACTTAATATATGGTTCATAAAAATATATATGGAAACTGTTTGATAATTCATTTAATGTTTGGAACAACCTGAACAGTGACATGAAAACTTCAGAAAGTTTTTATTTTAATCCACTCCAGACTCAGAAAAAATACAATTTTTCTCACTGGAGAAGGATGGCCCAAGGGAGATTTGGTCTCCAACATGGTAGAGAAAAAAGCAGATCCTGAGTTTAAAAAAACAAGCTGATTTAGAGACAGGTAAAGAGGTCACCTTGCTCTAAATGCAGCACTTCATCTTGTACTGCCTTTTTCACAGGTTCAAAAAAAAATTTCCAGGCACAATCCTGGAATTTTCTGCAAAACACAATTATAATATGTGATTATAATATGCAATTATTAGAGTCCATGCAATTAGAGTCCTGCTAATTCAAGAGATCTCAGAAATGGTGAAAGATTGACCTTAGCTTCCCAATAACCACAATATGTGCAGGAATGGATACAGCCAAAGCAAATGATGAAACTAAGACAAAAACCTGGGAGTCTGCTCAGGTATTGCCTTGTCTCAGGAGCAGTGGCAATGGTAATAACTGGCTTAGGAAGGGCATTCCACCCATTCCAGTCTCCTCTGAGGTCATATCAGCAGTGGCTGATTCCATTTTTTATGATGCTGGCTAAGACAGACTCTGCAGGTGGGTCGGACTGTGGCTCTTTGGTGCCCTATCTAAATACAGACACTTCTTGCCAGATGTTGATGGCCCTGTGTTTTGGGTTTCTATGGCCAGGTTTAGACAGCTTGGGTAGAATGGCTACAGGGGTGCATCTTCTGGCAGAGTCAATCCCAGCCAGCTCCAAGACAGCTGGCCAAGGCTGGGTCAATCACCTCTACGAGAACAGTTTAAGAAGGAAAAAAGTCACAGAAGTAATTGTGTCCAGAGAAGAGTGTGGTGAGGATATACGAGAGGAACGACTCTGCAGACCCCAAGCTCAGTAGAGACTGCGGGGCTGGAGCTGCTGCAGATGGCAGAGCTGCACCCCTGCAGCCCGTGGTGCGGCCATGGTGAGGCAGCTGTGCCCCTGCAGCCCATGCAGGTCCATGGGGAAGCAGAGGTGCACCTGCATCCCATGGAGGAGACCAGTGTTGGAGCGGTGGATGACTGAGAAGAAGGAGGCTGTGAGGCTGGAGTAGGCTCTGGCAGTGCATGCACAGCAAGGAAAGGACCTGCAGACCCATGGGGAGAGGACCCCATGCTGGACCAGGCATTCTGTTAGGATCTGTGACCCTGTGGGGGACCCATGTTGGAGCAGGGGAAGGACCCTGAGCAGCAGCAGCAGAAATAACACATGATGGACTGACCATAGACCCCACTCCTCATCTCCCTGAGGCACTGGGGGAGGAGGTAGAGCTGGAAATGAGGGGCAGGGTGGAATAATTTTTTTTTAAGTGTTATTTTATATTTCAACATCCTGCTCTGATTTGTTAGTAATAAATTCAATTAATATCCCTAATTCTTGCTAATTTTGCCTGTGACAGTATTTCATGAATGATGTCTCCTTATCCTTATCTCAACTCATGAAATCTTCATTACATTTTCTCTCCCTCGTCCAGCTGTAGAGGGGAGTGATAGGCTTTGGTGGGTGCCTGGAATCCAGCTAAGGTAAACTCACTCTAACCCATTATTCTTAATGGAAATCTAGGTAAACTAGAACTTAAATCAGATTTAGGGTAAATTTTCTATGCATATTTCCTCTTCTAGAGATAATATAACTTATTTTACCTTACCATGAGGATGTATTGTAGTAAAAATATTAAAGAGAACTTTGTGCTAAGACCATAACTTAAAATGTCCAAATCTCTCAGAAATGTTCTTTTTTTCAGAAAACCTTTTTGTATTTACAGAATGACAGTTAGATTAAGACACTAAGGAAAATGGAAAATTCATTAAGTACTCACTTATGTAGGTGAACAGTTACAACATTTTACAGTGGAAACCATTCTGAGGATAATACTAGATAACTGGTAATGATCAGAGATAAAGGTAAGGTTTTCCATACAAGTGGAATATTGTGGCTATAGAGTACCAGTGGAAAATGTCACTGTCAACTGATATCAATTTGCTGTTTGCTGAGGGAGAATTAAAGTAGACTTGAATGAATGGCTAAACTGGCAAGGCAATGCCTGGCACAAAAATAAGGGACGACAGATACAGTGCAAGCACTGAATAACTCCCTGACCGTAAACTGACCCAACAGCACTTATGGAAATTTAGCTAATTACTTGTAAGAGGGGAAAAAAATGAGAATCCTGAGAGAAAAATAATTCAAAATGGATTATGCTGCTTCTTCATTCACCAGCTGTCATATGTCATCTTGTAAACTGCAAAGTGAGTGATCATTCTATAAAACCTTTAATTCAAATGTGATATCTACAATAGGTATGTGGAAGTAAAAAAAAAAATCTAAGCTAATAAAAAAGTATATTAATTCTTTCAAAAGCTAAGGCCTTCTAAAGGATGCAAGGTGCCAAGCAGGCTCATTTTATAACAAATGATAGAATGTAAGAGATTCAGAAATGTCTTTATTTCTAACATAGCCCAGAAAGAAAGACAGACATGAAGACAAAATGGAAAACTGCTTCATATTCATGTGTCATAGTCCCTAAAAAAGGATAACTTCTTTGACAAACCAAATAAAGAAACTATCATTGAAGAGATCTTGGAACAAGGAAAGTAATTATCATTAAATATCAATGAAAATATTGAGGAAAACATGAAAATAACTAAGAGACAGGAAATTTTTTCCTTCCTGAAAGAAGCTCTTATGGCAGATTTCAAAACTCAACCTGTGGAGTTTAACGATGCTGCTGTACAAGTACAGCACCAAATTTCAGTGTGAAATATTCAGTGAACTGAAATCATCGCTACCAGGTATTTTAATTTAAATTAGGAAAAAACACAGCACCTGGTATTTTGTCTTCTTTCCCATTCCTCAGGATGGAATGCTTTCCACCAATTTCCAGAAGTGATCTGGGCTCAAAAAGCCCTGATAGAAATGTTCCTTAAAATGAAGCAAATGTCTTTTCGTGTTTTTTAACAGCACTTTAAAAAGTGCCACTTCTGATAACTTCTCTCTGCTATTTAACAGATTCTTCTTTTTTTCCTGCCCAGAAGGTGCAGATCAACCTTCCCAGTTGGTCCTGGCCAAGCTCCCGCTCCTCCCGGCAGCGTGGCGATGTCGCGGCAGCGCCATCCCTGAGCCCAGAGCACCTGCCAGGCACTCACACCACGTCAGTGTGGTCTGAAGGCATGGGAGAAACGGCTGCCAGAGCCAGCTGTCTGTCTGCTCCCACCCTTCCCTGCCAAAATCCTTCTCCTCACCAGTGCGCAGGTTGCTGAAGGCAACAAAAGCATATCACCCTTTCTACAGCCCAGGAAGATTTTAGTTGTTGAGGAGGGCATTGCTTTTTCCTTAGGGGCTTGAACAATGTAGCTTTTCTCTTGCCTTTAAAACTAATTTTCTCCTTAAAAAATGAGACATACTACTAATAGGAGGGATAGATGCAGAAAGAGGAGTAAAAATCTTTGTGGAGAATTACATTTCTGTCATGTGGCACATTATCTTGAAATACTCCAGTGAAGCTTCACAGTTTTAGTCGCCAGTATTTTTAATTCTCAATTATGAAAACAACTATCCCCGCCCCCCCCCCCCCCCATCTTGTCATAATGAAGTTATGTTAAATGTGCTTCAGTATTTATGTGATAGACAATTTACTGCCATTCTTCACTTCTTTTGTGGCCATCTTGATGTTACAACTGTTCTGTCCGATGATCAGCAAGGTCATCAAAATATCAGACCCTGGATTTTATTTACTAATGATATTTCTACTTTTTGGTTCTGTGGCTATACTTTCAATAAAATATGGAAAAGACAGCCCATTTCCTGAAGTAAAGAACAGAAATTTGAAAAAAAGTAAAAAGAAAAATTAATTACATCTCCTTTATAGACATGGAACTGAATTACAGAGATTGAACAATGTTGCCAACATTGAGCAGAGATTCAAGGCAGAGGTAGGAACCCAATCCAGACGTCCTACATACTCTTGGTATAGACACATGCTATATATTTTTTAAAGAGTTGAACCTTAGAGTAGTTTTTTTCTAACCAGACACAATCTGTTTGAAATTCTCAGAGAAGTGTCGCTAAACTTACAGTTTTTAAGAACATCCTCTCCAATGATGTTTTTGCAAGCTCTCCTTTGACTCTAGTAAAATCAACAGAAATACTTTTAACAAGCCAAGTGCAACTCTTCTTATCCTTATAAATAATACTGGAGCAGTTCTGTTTGAGTTCCAAGGTAAGGTTAGAGTTGACTATCACTGCATTATATTGCATAAGGATATCACATGGTGTAAATTTTTTCCTTAATAGCCTGTGTGTTCTGGAAGCTAAGTCATAGGTGATTTACTCTCTAGTGAGTGTTGTTAGTGCAGCATATTACACACTTGGCTAGCCCCAGTTCTTATTCATGGCTTTTTATTTTTATTTTCAAGGATTAGGCTAAACCACACATAGAGGATAGGTAAGAATTTTTATTCTCTTTCATACTCCTGTGCTTGGAGGTATGCAATAGAGAAACACATTTTAAAAAAGGTTAAATTGCAGAAGTTTCACCTTTTTTTTACATAGATACTGAGTATTAAAGAGGAATATACAAGAAGGTTGAACCCTTCAGCTCCTTTGAGTTTACATCTGTGTCATGCTTTATGGATTGGAGAAAATTTTGCAAGTGTGAAGATCAGGAGCGGAGCTGTGAAATTCAATTACTACGCTTTGGGAAATTTGGGAATCTGTGCTGACTATCTAATAATACATAGTATAGTGACTGTCTCATTTTCCATTTTTACAAAATAAATCTGATTTTTTTCTCTTCCTGAAATAATTCCTTTTCTATAATTTAAAACAATAAAATCCTTCAGGCTTTTCATCCTCCAAGTAAAGAGGAATCTTCTTCAAATCAGATAAGAGATCTAAGAAACTATTTTTTAGAAAATTTTAAAATCTTAAACTTACTTTCTAACTTGCACAGAGAAAACGCCCATCATTTCATGAAAACTTTTTGGCTGATGCGAGGTAAAACAGGATGTGATTAGAATTGAAAGCTATCCAGTTTTATTTATCCCTGCTTCTCTGATTTAAAATGAAGCCTGGCTGTGTGCAGATGATAACTGTGAGCAAAGGTTGACATCAATTGGAGCTGTAGGATGAACTGTCTCTGTGTGGGGGAAAATATCACCTTTTTTAAAAGATGCCAAGTGACACTGACAAAATAGACAAGGCAATCTAGATCAATGACATAAAAATAGTTGTCGTATAATGATTAGTGAACTACAGCTCATAATAATCTCCTTCTGTAGACTCCTCTGAGGATAATGTTTGATTATTTGAACACATCATAGTGTTAATTATGGCTAGGCTGAATTTTACAGTCTAATTTATATTTTTACAGTATGTGACATTTGAAAGCTAGAGGTAATTTTCAGTATCTTATTAGGTGTTTGAAATTCAGTTTCTAGCT